TGTTGAAGAAACCACCTCTGTTTGGGTTAAGAATCGAAAGATAGAAAATGGAAAGAAACCTCGGAAAAACTAATCGGAAGCCTTGATTTTCTGGTAGGAGGAGAGAGAAGCCGCCGGCGTACCACGCGTCAACCAACCAGAGGGCCGCGTGCGCCAATCGCCCCCGGACACGCGTCGAGCGCCGCCTGGGAAAACGCGGCTCCAGCGCTCCTGCGACACGCGTCCCTGGCTCCGCGACCCGACCCGCGCTCCTTGGCTGACCCGATACCCGCACGGCGAACCGAATCCAGTTGACGACCCGCGGTCCACCCGAATCACCGCTTCCGACCCGAACCCGCGACCCGCGACTGCAGGAATTTCTGGGCGCGTGACACTCGCGCGTGGAACCCGCGAGTGGCTGCTCCCCAGCGCGTGACTGGCGCGTGGAGGCGCGTGTAAGCTGTTTTTGGCCCGATCGGCTTCTGTTTTCCCTAGTTTCCCCTGATTCATATCCTAACTCCATTTGTTTGTATGAAATAGGACCTTATTGAGGAAAAATCACCCCCTCTCGTTACGCCAAGTGTGTGGAAACGCTGCGTAAGGGCACGTAGCATCCAAGTAAGTCGCCACACGGAATTTAGGAAGTAATACTTGTAGGAACCGCTTGGGATGCATGCATGCTAGTCTGAATATTTTAGGTTGTAGCTTTCCCGTAAATGTTCGTAGGAAATAGTTTATTGAACGTAAGATGTATGCTGTGATTTGTTATGAGAGTTACTTGGATACTGCTTATATGCTCTTAATTCCCACCTTATTTTATGCATATGTATATCTTTTTGCTGAATGGAGAATGGAAAATTTGCGAACTCTGTGCTCCGGGAATTGATGGATGTTATCACCCCGTCGAGCTTGTATGATTACTTTGCATGAAATATGTTTGAGGTTTTTGGATAATAGTTATGTACGTACTCGGTTATTTTTAGGGCCACCTTTATGAATAAGACTAGAAGACAATGGTTAGAGCGACAAACCATCAAGGGATCGACTTAACCTTTCCCTATTAGTTTATCAGACCATCACGGCACATGAAACATCCTTAGAGTACCCTTAAGCTACTTGTGTGTGGATGGTGATATAGCTTCGTGGGGGACCAGCGGGTTCCTGATCAGGACTCGACTGCTCGATAGCCGTTTAGTATGGGAAACGGGATACCCACGTCGTAATTGACCGTTTAGCTGGATGGAATAGGGGAGGTAGCCCTCCCAAATACAGGGGGATTATCATGGGTCTAGGGGGTTGCAGCTCACTTCCTAGGCAAGACCCCAGATAATCTCATACCCATGCCGAGGTAGCCACTCGTAAGGCACCAGTCCAACACAGGTTAGCATAAAAGGAACTCTATGGGTTTAAATAAAAGGTCTAGGAACCAAAGAGGACCAAAGGGATAAGTTCCAAGAGAGAAAGCCCTAATGAGGTAAGGCCCGATTTCAGTTGTTCTAGAGCCAAAGGAAAGCCCGTGATCGTCTGCTAAGTTTAGGGTGCGGTAAGAGCCTACAAGTAGGTGGCTTACTGAGTATAATTTTTATACTCATTCCCTTTATACTTTTTTTTTCAGGTACGTGAGGCGTCGAGTCAAGAGAGGGCGCGTCGATCGATGTGGGTTGTCACAGAGGAAGCGTGTCCCGGGGCGTCAGTCTAGTTTACTAAATAGTACACTTTGTCTCACATGTTCCTTTCCTTGTTTTTTCTTTTACCTAGGCACTTATGTCCTTCTAATAAAGATATGTTTTTCTTTTGAAACAAATGATTTCCTTGAATTTCTCGTTTATGCATTACATGTCATACAATGTTAGTCACGGCTTAATTTGGGGTCGTGACAGGGAGTGAAAGAGGGAAAGGGATTCAAAATTCAAAAAATGAAGAGAAGAAATGGATGAAGAAAGGGAAAGAGGGATGGTAAAAGGTTGTATTGGGAAGTGAAATGGAGGAGAGGGGGTGGAAGGAAAGAGCATTGATGGCTTTGGCTATGGCATTTAGTGCAATACTATGAGCAGCATGGCCCTATCCTCTTCTCTCTTTTTCTTGCCAGACTTGCTTTTTGGCATTACATCTTTCTATTCATCCTCTTTTCCCAAATCATTAAATTTGGTAATCCTTAATCATAAATTTGTTAATATACTCTAAACTATTATTCTTGAGGAAGGTTAGCATATGATACAAAATTTGTGACGCTCATAAGTCGAATAAGAGTAATCATGTTTAAAGTCCATTAGAAGAAGTCATAAGTCGAAGATGAAATCAGGCAATGGATAAAAGAGGTGGTGGCAGGGTTCGAGGAAACAACGTAGCTAGATCTAGCTTTTTTAATGTCTCTATGTCCGGTACCATATTAGCAATTCATACAAGAAAACAAAAATATAGCTCAATTATTCTTATTGTGTGATGTCCAAGTTTGGTGGCACATTTTAAAATTAATAGGCTTGGGATCAAATGGATTCATATTAATTTGAAAGAAAGGCCCTAAGATCCTAAGGCTAAAAGGGAGAGATGGGGAGAAATTTGAAGGGGTGTGGAAGATTTGGCATTGGCGACCATGCCGCTGCACCAAACAATCAACGTTTGGCATTTGGAGGAGAATAAGTAAGGACCACGCACATTGCATAAAATGTAGAAATACGTAGATATTAATTGTACGTTTGTGGCATTCCCTTTCATGCTAGCTTTCCTCACATGCTGCCGCTACCGCTACCTCTCCCCTCATCTCCTTGCTTCTTTCATGAATACACCGCCAAACATACCCACAATTATGTCATTGGATTTAAATTCCAAGAATAACCCATTTCTTCACTTTTGGATGGCTTTTAATGTCACGATGTTATAAAGCAATTCTGAAATTAGTATAATGCTGTTTCCCGATGTGCATTTGGTAATCCTTTACTTCCAAGTTCACGGTTCCCTGTTCCTTTACAACAACTACAACGAGCATAGCGTACATCAGAAAATTGATATATGAACCATTTCAGTTTTTGCAAATGCTATCTTTCGATAAATGAGAGGGCTAGCTAAGCCTTGGCTCGGTAATGGTGAATATGATAACACAGGACGTGGGGGGTGTGCGGTAAGTTAGTTAGTGGTCAGTGTTGAGGCATTGAATAGGGAGGGAAAATGATGCATCATCCATAACAATCTTTTCAAGCAATTCCCATTTCTCCCTTTCTTAATTAATAAACTTTTGATCCATTCACAAGTTTGGTTGCTAGTTCATTTTGACTCGCTACGTATCGTCATTAGTCTCACAGTTTTAAAAAGCGCGTGTTAAAGAGAGGTTTTCACGCTCTTAAAATGAATATTTAGCTCTTCCATTTTTTTTTTTTTTATTACGATAAATTGTATTAGTTAGAGAGAAGAACTAAACAATACTTACAAAGGTATGAAAACCTCTTTCTTAACAGACCACTTTAAAATTGTGAGGTTGACCACGATAAGTAACCAATCAAAACTGACAATATTCGCTAATAGTGGAATTAGACTCTTACACTTTCCTTCTCCTTGAGACTGATAGTTGCTTGCTGTCATATTTGGCCCTTCGAGATTGCGATGTTTTGGTTGGTACGTGGTAGATGAGGGCATGTGTGTATATGTACATGTGTAGTAGAATAGATTATTTAGTTGATTAATTTTAGAATTTTTTTTTTTTTTTTGACATACAACCGCTCAAACTGTTGAGGATTATTGAGAGTGAGTCCCACCTTCGTTAATTTAGTGGAAGATCATGAGTTTATAAGTGAGGAATACAATTTCGATTGATATGATGCCTTTTGGGGAATCCCAAAGCAAAACCATGACAACTTATACTCAATGTGGACAATATCATACCATTGTGGAAAGTCGTGATTTCTAACACAAACTTCACAAACTTCACATCCTTATTAATTCATTCAGTTATTCATCTTTTTCCTTCCTCCCTCCCTCCTTTTTGAGAAGTAAAATGAGTTGGTGAAGAATGAGTAAAAGTGGTGTGGAAAAGGAAGAGAAAAAAAAAAAAAAAAAAATCTTAAACAGCTTAATTAATAATTAGTGGGAGGGTTTTAATTGGCAATGATTAAAATTTTAGTAACAAGGCAAGTTACCAAAACTATTCAAAGCAAAGAAAAGATGAATGAAATTAACAAAATGATTTCCACAAAAAAAAAAAAAAAAAAAAACCTTTTATTTTGGTGTTTCCATTAATTTAACTAGCTTTTATTATAAAGTTGAATCCACTCCCTTGTCCTTCAGTATACACTACGCCTCCACTATGCATTTTTGTGCTAACTTTATATTAATGCCAAAATTTAACCACTCTCTATTAAATAATTTATGGAAGTATGTATTTAATGGTGTAAAATAATAGTTGTCCAAATTTTATTTAGTTTTTAGGTTTAGAATTGAAAAGGGTTGGTATGTTGTATACAAAGTGGGTTTACATAACTTTCCATTTAGGTTAGTTAGTAAATATATTATTTATAATATATAGTTTTTTAGTTGCGAAATTAAAGTATAAATCTTATTGTGATTCTTCATATATGTTTGCATAAAATATTTTACTAAGGAAATAAATATATAAATTTGATGAAAGAACGCTACTGGGGGCTGGAAGCAGAGAGGGGCAGGAATTATTTAATAAATTCAAACCTGAAAGGGGCAAAAATATTATAAAAATAATTGTGTGGCGATAAATCGCGAGAAATTGGTTGGAAAATTATTGAGCTGACCGTTGGAAGGGGGAGGGGTTTGTACTAGTTTGTGAACTTTTTATTACTCCGGTGGCTGCCCCACACTCAAATCCCACGCGCCCTCAACTCCAACGGCTCACTCATCTCCTCTCTTCACTGCTTGATTCCTTCCCCTTCCATCACGCATATACTTGTCAGGGCCACAAAGCGAGTAGAGTAGTTTTACATACTCGCCGCGATTGTTTACTTTCTTTTTCCCTTTTTTTTTCTTTTTCAAATTGGCGAATGAGATCCAGGGAAATACGACCGTTCCTCGTGATCGACGCCATTGCCATCTTGCGTCTGTTGTCTTCGTCGCTTCTCCCACCCAAACCCAAACGTTCTCTGTTACTTACTTTTTTTTCCTTTTAACAATTCTGAAATTTTTTATTTACACAAACTCCAACTTTCTTTATCTCTCTTTCTCTCTCAGATGACACGAAGACAAGGACGTTTCGTTCACACTCTAAAGTAGATTGAAAATTGGAGGACTGTAAAACCTCAGTCCCGACCTCCTTACCCCGAAGCTCAGAGAGATACAGACAGAGCGAGAGAGAGAGCTTAGAAATGGTAGCTGGGAAGGTGAAGCTCGCAATGGGGCTGCAGAAGTCTCCGGCGAGTAGAAAGGTTGAGAGTTCACCGAAGCCATCCACCCCGGCACAGCCTTCTCCGAGCTCTGGTAAAATTTCTCAGAAAACTGTCTTCTCCCGCTCGTTTGGTGTGTATTTCCCGCGCTCTTCTGCTCAGGTTCAGCCTCGACTGCCTGACGTGACGGAGCTCCTCCAGTTGGTGGAGGAGTTGCGTGACAGAGAGGCGCGATTGAAGACTGACCTATTGGAGCACAAGCTGTTGAAGGAATCTGTCGCCATTGTTCCTATGCTTGAGAACGAGATCGCTACGAAAGATGCGGAGATTGAGAGAGCGTCTAAGCGGATACTGTTTTTGGAGGCGGAGAATGAGAGATTAAGAGTTGAAGTGGAGGAAGTTAAACAGAGTGTTGAGGAACAGAGGAGAGAGAGTCAAGAGAGAGTAAAAGCAATGGAAGGTGAAATCGCGGAGCTGAAGAAAATGGCGTTGGATCGACGCAGAATGGAGCTTATTTTGGAGAACGACGAGCTTTCGGCGTCGCAGAGGTTCCAGGGATTAATGGAGGTCTCGGGAAAATCTAACCTAATCAGGAGCCTCAAAAGACCGACCAAGTTTTCGGATACTGTTGTTACTCAAGACAATCATAAGGTTGAACAACCAGAGGCGAAGAAAGAAGAGGTTGAAACCGAGAGACCGAGACACTCGCGAAGTAATTCTGAAGAACTCGCCGAGTCCACTCTATCTAACGTAAAATCGCGAATACCTAGGGTTCCAAAACCTCCTCCCAAACCTTCTTCCTCTTCCTCTTCCTCTGCCACTTCCTCCTCCTCCTCCACATCAACTGGCTCTTCTGGTGATGCTGAGAAAAAGATCCCAGCCCCACCCCCTGTCCCAACCAAGCCAACGCCACCGCCGCCTCCTCCTCCACCTTCGAAGTCGGCTCCGCCTCCTCCTCCACCGCCTCCCAAGGGTAAGAGGCCGACGCCGGCGAAGGTGCGACGAATACCGGAGGTTGTGGAGTTCTATCACTCATTAATGCGGAGGGATTCTCGGCGAGAACTCGGCTCCGGTGTTACGGAACCGCCGTCCTCCGCCAATGCTCGTGACATGATCGGAGAGATCGAGAACCGGTCCACCCACTTGCTCGCTGTAAGTCACCGGTCATGTACTCTGTCTCTTAATTTTTTCAGGTGTTTAATTTACGATTATGCCACTATGCGGAGCCTTTTGTCAGTGAGAATTGACTAGTCCTCAAATTTTTTGGATTATTGTAGAAAATGTCTTTTATATTTTTTGGTTTTGGATGAACGAACCCTTTTTTTTTTTTTTAAATTAGTATTTTAACTCCTAGATAATGTGAATTTCCAATGAACTCCGGACAAATTTCAATGGAAATTTATAAACTCCAGCTGAAATTCAAGAATCCAGCCAAATTCCGGCCGGAATTCATGATTTCCAGAAATAAAAAAACAACTCTGTTTCTTATTATTATTATTATTTTATCTCTCTTTCTTTTGAATAAATGATTTATTTAGTTTTTATTATTAAAGTAAAAAAAAAACATTATCTCAAATTTTTTAATTTTGACCAACAAAATTATTTGCATTGATTAGATTGCATCATGGAACAAAAATTCAGTTTTATAATTTCAAATATAATTTTCGCTTTTTTTTTTCCTCTCAAGACTGGCAATTCAGTAATTTCAAGTTGAAATGTTTTCTCAATTCACATGGCTTTTTCTTTTTGGAGGTTAAGTAATTCAAATGTACACTTGGCCTTCCCCCTCTCGTTTTTCAAATACAAAATAGAAAAGAAAAGAAAAGAAAAGCAAAGGCTAAACGAAGCGAAAGCTAATCATAGAGAATTAATTTTGTTTGAAGCCAATGCCAAATAAAGATTCCAAATAAAGATTGATTTTGAGTAATATCAACTCCATCATCTATGTATTGAAGAAAAAAAAAAGTTACTTTAACTATTATTCTTTTTGGGTTTTGTTTTTACTATGATTCTCATGAATAATGAATCCCCCGTGTTACTTGCAGATAAAGACGGATGTAGAGACTCAAGGGGATTTCATAAGGTTCTTGATCAAAGAAGTTGAAAATGCTTCATTTACTGACATCGAGGACGTTGTGCCATTTGTGAAATGGTTGGATGATGAGCTCTCATATCTGGTGGATGAAAGAGCCGTGCTTAAGCACTTCCAGTGGCCGGAGCAGAAGGCCGATGCTCTACGTGAGGCTGCATTTGGCTATTGTGATCTAAAGAAGCTGGAAGCCGAAGCGTCATCCTTTCGTGGTGATGCCCGCCAGCCCTGTGGTTCGGCTCTCAAGAAGATGCAAGCTTTGCTTGAAAAGTATTCACCATCTTACTAATTGATTTTCACCTTTGCTCCTTTAGTTTCGTTTCTTAGTGTCTGTTCTTTATGCGCAACAGGTTGGAGCATGGAGTATACAATCTGTCTAGAATGCGTGAATCTGCAACTAAGAGATACAAAGCATTTCAAATTCCAGTGGAATGGATGCTTGATAGTGGAATTGTGAGTCAGGTAAATCCCCCATCTCTCTCCAAATTAAACAAATATAGTTTAATTCTTGTAGCTTAGTTCGGCTGGTGGGTAGGAGTATCCAAGAACAGATGACTGCTCTGATTAATTAAAATAATTAAGTTGTTGATCCATTTAGGTGTGGTCCCTTTTAATGGTGGATCCGTTGTGGGAGAGACAGGGAAATAACTCTGACAAACTCTACAGCGTAATGTAATATAAATATGGAGAATAGTTTAGAAGATGACAAAAAGGATGTTTTGATTTTGCCTTATTTTCCTCTACCCTTTGCCTGCACGCGCACATGGGAATTCCCAGATTTCCAAACTTCACCTTCTTGTCTGCTTTATATATGGCTCTCTTAAATTATGGGGCTAGCAAGAGAATCAGATTCTTCTTGTTTGCTATATGCAAAAATTGATTCTTTTTATAAGTTTCTTTAGAATGAATAAGCATACTGGGAGTTGTTTGATAATAAGTAGTATTCATGCATTTTATAACTCAACTAAGCCCTTGGAAGCTCCGGAATGCATTGTTTTAGAAAGAGAGAGTACATTAACGAATGTTAGAAGTACTTATTGTTTGCGTTCAAAATATGGTATGATGGTGGTCCAGTAGAAGCCAAGTTGGGTATTGTTCAATACGTTCACGTGGTATTAGTTAAGTTAGTGGGTTGAAATGAAATGGGTCTGATCTGAGTCAATTAATGTGTCACAGATCAAGCTTGTCTCTGTAAAATTAGCAATGAAGTACATGAAAAGAGTATCCGCAGAGCTTGAAACAGTGGGTGGTGGACCTGAAGAAGAAGAGTTGATTGTTCGAGGCGTTCGATTTGCTTTCCGTGTGCATCAGGTAATTTTAAAGGGACCCCGTCTCCTTACTGACATCAATTAAATTCTGTGGTTAAGTTCTTCATAAACTTGTTATTATGTGCAGTTTGCTGGAGGGTTTGATGTGGAAACAATGAGGGCATTTCAAGAGCTGAGAGACAAGGCAAGTTCATGTCACGTACAATGCCAAAACCAGCAACATAAGTACGTATGCAGTAGCAACAGGCCTACAACTTGTTAATCTGCAGCAATCTCAGCTTCAGAGGGCTCTGTTTTTTGGGTGTAAAGATCATGTTTGTGAATATTAATGGCAGCGGCGGCGGCTTTGTTGGGATGGAACTCCAATTTATTCATTTAAAAAGCAAATGAACTGAAGTGAGGTGATATTATTATTATTAATTATATGGGAAAAAAGGAAGGGGGAGGGAGGCCAGGCCATTTTCTTCGTTCATTTGCATTCAACTTTCAACCTTTTCCTCTTTATATATGCTCTGTCGTCGTCCTCTGAAAACATCGGCAACTGTTGACTGGTTGATGCTGAATGAAGGGTGTTCTTTATAATATTCTTCTTCCCTCATGTATTCTTATTCTTATTCTTATTGTTATTTTTAAATAAGTAACTTTGCTCTAATTTATTCATAAAATCATCTGTTAAGTGTAGAGTGACAAATAAATAAATATATATCTGAATATGATTTACACTTAAAGTTTTGATCAATTTAACTAATATGATGTAAGGTTTTTTATTTTAATTTTAATACCAAAAAAAATTAGTGACAATGAATTAATTTTAAAAAAATTTAATGTATATGTGTAAAATCTTAAAATATTGAAACTAAATAAAAATTAAATTCAAAAATATATATAATATAATATTCTCTTTTTTAATTTTTTTTTATTTTTTATATCAAATTTAGGGTAATCCTTGTAAATCCCCGTTCGGACAGTGGACTTGGATTTGTAGCTTTCTTACGCATTTGGCAACGCGTCAGCTGCCAGTTCATTGGGTGATTTCAGGTTTCATTCTTACCTTCATTCCAATAATCATCCTTCATCTTCTGCGCATTTGATCTGCCCTCGAGTTTTTCGCCTTGTCAAAGCTGCTGCTGCGTTGTCCATGGAGGTCGAGAAAGGTGCACAATCTGCTCCTGTTGGCAGCACAGCTCTGCCCATGAAGCTCTTGTTTGTCGAGATGGGCGTTGGCTACGATCAACATGGGTGAATTCTCAGCTCTTTTTCTTTTTATACTTACAAGTGTTAATTTCGGGAATACAATTACAAACTCGTTTTCAGAGAGAAAAGAAGGAGATTAACGAGTTTATTCTCTTTTGCCACAGTCAAGATATCACGGCTGCTGCAATGCGAGCCTGCAGGGATGCCATATGCTCCAATTCGATTCCAGCATTCCGTAGAGGTATGTCTCAGTGGATTTCATATCCTCGCGCTATTTGTTATCTGCTTAATTAATCATGTGACAGGAGATATGAGTTCCTGAATTAAGCTCCTTGTTCTTGGCAGCTTTGATTTAACATTAGAATTTAAGCAATGTAGTCTTTCCTTACTCCATAATAGGCTGTTCGTGTGCTTTCTGTTTATTTTGGTTGGTAATGCTTGAATCAGTGCACTCTACCTCCTATAAACTACTTTCATTTACATATATATGGATCTTGTTTTTATTTGAGTAGTCATGACACTGTTCTGGATTTATTTTCAAATTCAGAATCTCATTTTTATGGACTTCTGCCTTCTGCAAATTAAGTTTATGTTGAAAGAATGCTGCTAATTTCTTTATGTTTAATATCTTAATGGGGACTAATGACAAGGTGTAATGTAGGTACCATTCCTGGAGTTTCATTTGGAGAGATGAAACTACAGATCAAACTTGGAGTTCCACAGTCGCTTCAACAATCCTTGGATGTTGAAAAAGTCAAGTCCGTCTTTCCATAGTGAGTGCTGAACTATTTTAAGTTTGATGACTAAATTTTTTTGGGGAAAACACAGAGCACTCTTTCTTGTGTCAAGCTACACCTTTTTATTGATAATATGTAGCTGTTAAGGGCTACACCTTGTGTTTGAGGTCAGCTCATTAGTAACCTAGCAGAGAGGGTATACAAACACAGTTCATATCCTGACAATGGGATGAATAAGTTAAACTACTAGCTAAGCTATCTTTGCAAAATAACCTAGCAGACAGGGGATGGGACAGTAACTAGGCACAAAGGCAAATGTAATAATCCAAAAGCAACAGAAGCTGCAGCAAAGATTTGGTTTGGCTGCTCAACTGTAGAAGAAGGCCGATTAGATTAAGATGCTGTGCTGGTTCGTGGCTTGCTTTAATGCCCCTCCCCCACCTGAACTTGTGGGGGTTTCAATCCCTCCAAGCTTCTCTGTAGAACGTAATATTTGTAGGCAGCTTGAGCCTTGAGGTTAAGTGATGAGGATTTGCAAGTGTCGCCTTAATTTATTTACACTGCAAAGAATTTTCAGTCCCATACATGTTGAGTCCTGCAGGGTCCCTGTTGCACTGAAAGTTATTGGATCACTTTTCAATCCATGTTTTCAATTTCTGGTTCCTTGCTTATCAAAAATTAAGCGTGACAAGCTTTCACCTCACTATAGGTTAATTCCAGATGCATCTCTTATTACTTTACCAAAAAGCAATCTAATTAATCAGCATCTTTCAAGGAGAAATATTTGAACAAAATCTGTAAGGAACCCTTTTATCCTTGTTTTGGTTAGTTCTTGTGATTAATATGTAAGAACATAGACAAGAGTAATACCTCGAACACAAGTAGGGAAGAGCGTGATTTAGAGTTGATGAAGGCACCCAACTATGAACAATTGTTCTGAACTGTTAGAGCTAATCTCTTGGAGCTTGTTTTGGACTTTGCAAGGCCTTGTTCGGTTTGCATACATGATACATCTTTAAATTTTTTCGAGTCAAAATGTCCTCCTGTTCTCTCAATTCAAAGAGGCGTTATTTATGTTCAATTACTTTAGTTCCAAGCCTTTTACTAATGTTATGGCTATCAACAGACTTTCTACACTTAACCTCAGCTGACTTGATCACTTGAAGTTTTTTTGAGGAGATAGACAGCAGAGGGATTGAGGCTGTGAGGATTCACTGTTGGTGGGCCAAGATGATATAAATAATCCTTAATCTCCGAACTGTTCGTTCTTATCACATGTCAAAGACTCAAAATAGAGATGCTTACTAGGTTCTTTTCTAATCGAGGGCCCTAGGCACTCATATGTCATTTCTCAGTTTTAAAGGACTAGATACTTGCTTGGGATCTAGGTTATTTATTATTATCATTTTAATTCTAGGCTCTGCCAAATAAGTTCTGTCTCTTAGATTGATCTGATAGGAGTGCATTCATCCCCTAAGCCAGCTATAAGCCTGTAACACAGATGATGAAGTCTGAGGTTTAGATTTCTTTTCCAATTATGCCAAGATTCTCTGAGAGCTGCTTCATCTTGCTCTGATAATCTGTCAAGCTAAATGCTCTTTTCTTTGTCCTCTGGGTTTGCCACCACAACATCCTTTTAGTCTTTTCCAAATTTTCTGAGCTACTTGTGCTGTAACCTCCAGAGTGAGTGGGTTGCACAACCATGTAGAAGTTGATCAGTAGTCTAGTAACTAACTTCGTCAATTTGGCTTCAAAATTTATTTTTCTGTGCGAATCATGATTAACTACCCTGTTGCTTGCTTTTCTGTTGGTCTGCCATTTCGATTTAGTACTCTTGGAACCAGTTATTTTGAAATGCCATGTTAGTGAGAAAGATTGTTTGAATTGACTAACATTATCGTCCACGGATGATAGTGAACACCTCTAAACTATCATTTTCGGAAGATTATTGAATCTTTCCATTATTTGATTTACTGCAGTGGGAAGATTCTGAATGTTGAGGTTGTCGAGGGTGGCTTAATATGCTCCAGCGGTGTTCATGTAGAAGAAATGGGAGACAAAAATGATGACTGTTACATAGTAAATGCCGCCGTATATGTTGGCTACTAATTCTTGTTGCCTTATTTTCCTTTCGAAGACCTTGAGGATTATTTACCAGTCATCTTTGATTGTAACTACACAGTTAGTTATGCTTGATGCATACATTGACGTTTCAGTTTCCTTGGAGATATTGCTAGAACCGCAGGGTTATTTCTGGGCTCGATTAATCGCTCAATTTTAGTATTCCTTGGTTTCAACGTTCTGCAATATACTGTTTCAAACTCATTTTTTGGTTATCAGCATCTATGATCAATAAACGAACTGCCCATATCCAGTTCGTGGAATGATTCAATCGGACCCATATCTTAAAGATGCGCAATAGAGTATTTTATTCCAGTTTATTACCAAGCAAGATGCCATCTTGATACCATCTCACTTGTATTCTTTCCTTATCGATTTGAAACAATTTTCTGAAACTGCAACAAATAGAATCATCAATTACTTTGTACAATTGCTTTGTTGCCATTACATTTTTTTTCTTCCAATTCCCGTTAAGGTGGTTAATTAAATGAATGAAGTTCTTTCTTCTAACACTTCCTGTGAGGAATTGCAGAGACGAAAAGAACCCCAAGTGTTTCAGGCTTGGCCTTCACATGGTAAAAACTGCATAGAGAAGCTGGTTCCAAGTGTCGGGCAAGCCGGGAAGGCACCAGTGGCTGCAATCTGGTCCTCCGCCTTCCCCGCTGTAAGTAGAGGGATGTGCATCTTTCCGGAGTTGCGACAACGTTGTGATGTCCAGCAAGAAAACGGGCTTCCTTATTCTACTCAGCACTCTCTTCACAATTTCCACCGCTGGTGGCGCCCCTGCTGGATACAGTGACCCTGAGAGCGGTACGCTTTCTCCATTGCAACTCCTCCTTGGTTGGTTCCAATCCTTTCCCCTGGTAAAAAGTGTTAACATCAATTTTTCCAGTTGAGAAAGAAAAACAAAGTTATATTCTTAAATTCTGCAGAAACTAGTTGAGCAGGTATAACTAACGGAGTTTTCTGGTGTGAAAATTACTGCTCAACAGCAAAATAGTTAAAAAGAAAACGAGGAATAGCAATGCATTAAATAGGTAGACACAAGTAGGACATTGTTTTTCGTCGGCAGATGAAAAAGCGATTTGCATGTCAATTTCCATTTTCATGTATACACTTTTACAGACCTCCGATGACAGGCGTGAGTTTTACTTACTCATAATGAGTGGGGGAGATTCCCTGGAAAATGACTCTGGTTTTGCTTGGATCAACATTCATGTCCACCCATCTTGCCCAGGTGGTCAGCCCTTGATAGAAGGCCTCCAGACGATCCATATCTTTCTTCACTGCATTTCCTACTTGCACATAATCCCACCTGAGCAACAGCACTCGCAACCATCAGATTTTACCTTACCATCACCAACCACATCAGCATGATGAAGAAAAAAAAAGAGGTTGATCTTACGCTTGGGATCTTCCAGTGTGGGTCCACCAGTGCCAAGAGTTGAATATGAGCACGTCCATTCCCTTCCACACATTGCCTCCTTCAATGGAATCAAGCTTTAGTACTCGTCCAACCTTCTCTCTCACTACGTCCACAAGGTAGGGCGTTCTGTGAAGAAGCAAGCTTACTCCATACTCCTGCACACACCAGATTGTTCCCTCTTCTTCATTGGTTAGGTATATTATTATAAATTATTGAACAGAAAGTTATTATTCGTGTTTATTATTATTATTAATATTATTATTGTTTGCATATGGTTTTGTTATATTATTTGTTTTGTACTCTTGCAGGAGAACCCGAAAAACAGCTTTTGAAAAAGTGAATAAAGAATAGAGAATAAAGAAGCAGACAATTAGTATACTGTGAAGTGGGAGATTTTGAAACAGAAAATTGGAGATAAAGAAAAAGGGGAAAGAACTCGCCTCGAAAATCACAGTAGAGAGTGATTCCCTCCTGACTATGGAGATTTTGGCTTTTGGTGCCGACGCTAGGATCATACATGTCAAGGATTGCCACATGTTCAGACTCAGTGAGTCGCCTACAAACATTATCCTCTTCCCTCTCCACCTACTCAGAAGCTCCAGCCCATCAAACCTTCAAAGAAATGAACACATTTTCTTAGACAGACAGAGATAGCTGCTTTGATTTTGCTCCCACATTTTCAGAGAAGGAAGCTTGACTTTTGCAAGGAGAGCAGGATTGGCTAAAAATGGAAAACCTTACAAGAAGGAAAGAAAAGAATGGAGGAGTAGTACCTTGGAAGATCACAGAAGTCAGGTTTCCAAGTGTACTTGAGGTAAGATCGATCTGGTCTGCCATACTTTTGGCAGTTAAACTCAGGGTCTATGAATGGACAGTTTGAAGATTCATAAAGAGGCAAAGAAGGATCAAAAACCCATTTGCCTTGGAACAAATTGCACCCCCTCCCTAGCTTGCTACTTCCCACATTGCTTATGTTATAGAAATCCTCAGCTTTAGCAGCTCCAAGCAAAAAGAGAAACAGAAGTTGTAAAAGCAGGAGAGACAGAGCTCTGAATCGAAAACCCATCTCAGATTTTGGGCTCTGACTGCAAAGAAAGGGAGGGGAGCTTTGGGTAATAGAAATAGAATAGAAAGAAGCAAGTGGGTCTATATAGAGACAAACAAGAGAAAAGCCTGATTATTATCATTATCATTATCATTACTATTATTTAAATCTTTTAAAACTTTATTCCATGAGCTGGGAATTGAATTATCTTGGCTGGATTGATGAAGGCAGATACAATTGTGGGAGTTGAAATTGAGAGTGAGTTGCAGTGCGCTGGTTTGCACATCGAGGGCCATAGCATATTACCCACCAAGCAATGATGCACATGGCTCAATGATGTTTTGGTTATCTAACTACCCAACTTTATTTCTTATTTTTTTATTCTACCTTTCAGTTTCTTCATTCAAATATCCATATAATATATCGATGCAATTACATGTATTAAAGGATTCCAAAGTGAGTTTGAATGATTTGGTGGAATCAAGTATGTCCCATCAGCCTAACGTGTTGCTAAAGCTATGTTGATGTTCTTATGTATGATAACTTTATCACACATTCAAATCAAAAGATATCCTTACTGGATAAGTTAAGAGGCTCTTTTTTATTATTACCCTCATTTTGGATGGAGTATGCTTCTTCAACAAAAACCCAGCTTCTATTTCTTCTACTTTCTCTCATTTTTTTTAACATTTAATACTGTTTGAGCCTTGAATTATATCTTATATTTTATCTAATAAATTCTATTTATGAAATTAAATAACGTAGAATGTACTTTATTACAGCTACGTAGGAATTAATTATAGTAAAGTGAGCACCACACGATTAACTTGGGGCTATTCTTTTGCTTTCATAGGTATGAAAGTCAAAAAGAAATTAAGATAACGACCCCTTTTTTTTATATATATATAAATAAGTTGAGAATTGGAATTACAGTGATTTTTATAAATACTGACGTAAGGAATTAAAGTTTTGCAATAAACACAAAAATTTAAATGAAGAGCTTATAATTTATGAGCTTTAAAGATAAGGATTGTACGAAAAACTGGGTCTGAGGCTCTGAGCCGCCAGCCCCACCTCCCAAACAACCTTCCAAACACAGACCGAGTTAGGTCGCATGCAATTTTCAAACTTTTATTTCATAATTAATTTTTAAAAATTTTATTTTGTTCATCAGTTTTTCAATTAATATTCGAGTTTCACAAGAAGTTTAGGCCTCCTTTGATGAATTTATTGCTGTCTTGGCACTTTGCCTAAGTGGGTTTTATAGCACTGCGCGTAATAACTGCATCACTCCTTAAATCGAGTGTTGACCCATTTGCACTGCTCTAAAAAGTCTTTATCTTAATTAATAGCGACGGAGAACAGGATTTTTCAATTAAGAATGAATTAACAGTAAAATTTAAAAATATTCCCATATAAAATAAAGATCTGTTTGTGTAAAGTTTGGATATGAACGGAGAAGGGAGAAGAAAGGAGGGTGGGTGGGTGATTATGAATGATTGGAGCCTCCTAATTGGTCATGCTCATCAATGAACAAGCTTAAGGAACAATCAATGTTTGGTTAAGTAAGTAGTAATTTGGTGTTAGAAAAGTTGATTAAAGTTGTGGGTTCCCCACAGGTTGTTCAAAATTAAGATTTAGAATTAGGCAAACAAATGTGTAACTAATTATCCTCTAAAAATGGTCAATCTGCTATCATTTCAAATGAGGCTGCTGCTGCTGGTGGTGGGCTAGTGTAGCTGTCTTCATTTGAAGCTGGAGGCCCACTTACGAGTGCAATTTGGTGAGCCTACTCCTTCCTTTATTTTCAATCAAACTGCACAAAATATTTCACAAAAGAAGACCCTTCTATGCTTTTCAGGCGTGTTTCGCCAAACATCTATTACTCATCACAACAATCATATTTACCCAATCATCTTCACCCTACCCTACCCTACCCTCCATTATATCATTAATCTTTTTACACACCATCATTAAATTAATATAAAAATATTGTTCTCTGCTTCCTATTCAAATATAATTTGTGCAAGATTCTTATGGTTGAGGCTAGTTGGACAACATGTAGGGTATATTCAACCACTGGCTCTAATCCTTGTTGCCATAAATTTCTCAGGCATGGTGCCATAAATTGTCCAATAGTTGCTTTCTTCGTCTCTCTCCATAGACATAGAAAAGAGGTAAAGTATTATCACATCAAGTCGGTCTAGTTGAATTACCTTCTAGATGATTCATTGTGACGTTTTGTTGTTATCCGTCGACTTTGTTTATGAGATCTTATTTCTAGATTAATCTAACTTTATTTTTGTGACTGAAATTACATCTTATATTACGGATCCTAATTCGTTGGTTCTTACTTGATGCTCACAAATAATACAACCTGGATATGAATGAAGTTGATGGTTAAAAGTGGTTTTTTATTTTTCTCTTTTAAATATACACACGTGTGAAGCAAATGAGTGATGGGCTTTCAAGATATAATGGGCTTTAACGAGCCCATATGGATCTTGAATTGGGCCTGTTCGGATGCGGTCGTAATAAGGGATCGTGAGAAACCCCACGCGATCAGAACAACCATATCAGGATAAGGCTCTTTCTTCCTCCGAACCAACATTAGCTGAAAGGGGGAAACACAGTCAGTCCAACAATGGCAGCGATATCGGTAATTTCGTCCCTATGTGTTTCCACTGTCCGCGTTCCTTCAGCTTCACTTGTATTCTCCACTGGTTCTAGAAGTTCCTCCATATCTCTAAATACCGCAAACAACGCTTCTGCCCGTCCTGGACTGCTTCATTGTTCGTTTCTTCCTTCTTCCTCCCTTTCGTGTAAATCATCCTTCTCAGGTGAGGGATTCCTTCACTCCAATTTATGTATTGGTTCGAGTGATTTAATGATTTCGCATTATTGCTTGCTCATTTGCCAATGTAATGGAGTTTATAGGAAGTAGTTCGCTGAAGTATTTATTTGCTGTATTGTGCGTTTATTACTTTCTAGGGCCCTTGCATTTCGAATTGTATACGTTCAAGGTCGCTGGGTTTGATAACTTCATGCTTGCATTCGATTTGTTATGAATTCTCTTGTATTTTCCTTTTTATTCTTCCCGGTAACCGAATTGTAAGCGAATTATCCGTTGTGTTTTACTTGTTGAGGGGAAAGACTATGCCCCGCTTCCTGCAACATTGCGGCGCCTTCTAGCGATACTTAGTTCTGTTGATATAGATTTTGTAACATTAACTTTATGCGAAAGAAGTACTAATTTGCAGGCTTGTCGTTGGGTTTGGATTGGAGTCCTAAAATTGGGGTCGGACAAGGAAAGCGTCGGAGCTTAGTGGTTAGGGCTGGAAAGGCTGCACTATGTCAGACCAAAAGAAACAGGTCGCGTAAATCCTTAGCTCGGACTCATGGCTTTCGCCGACGAATGCGAACCACCAATGGTAGAGCTGTTCTAAAGCGCAGACGTGCCAAGGGTAGAAAGGTTCTCTGCACAAAGTCCAACCCTAGCAGCGGAAAGCGTGCTTAAGCTTTTCTCGCTTTAACTATTTCTAAGGTAAATTAGGCAATGTTGTCTAATTCACTCTTCGAATGACTGCTCAAGATAGCTCATTATATTATATGATGCTTTGTTATTGATTCATTTGAATGTTCCTTAACTCAGATTATCAATGTTAAATTCAAATTACTGGATTCGACTAGCTTATGTGATTCATACTTTCCCATTGTTCATTTGAAAATCTCCTCTGAACTGGAATATGTACTCTGAGGCTTCAGGTTTGTTGTTTCTCATCTAATGTTAGGCCTTCTCGTCATTAATGTTTGGGTCTGAAATCTGAATCATATCAGTTTCTCTCTAAAATTGTTGTTGCTTGAGCTACTCTGTAGTTTATTAGATACAGATTGAAAACTATACCAAATTTCACGACAACAAGAAGAGCAATAGATTGAAAACTCAGAGTCGAGTTTATGAAAGCTCTATCTATTCTTACAATAATTATAATAATGGAACAAAAAAAATTCTTAGCTCTTCTTTTATTTTTCCACATGATCAAAGCTGTACAACAAAAATGAGAGCCCTTTCTGAAAATTCATTTCTTGCTTCACTAGAAGATGCTCGCTTTCTTCTGCTATGTTGGGGTATTTTTTTGCTTCTGATGAAAAAATTATGGAGCACAGGAGTTAACATCAGAGATTAAAAAGGTAAACTTTTAGAACTGGTGCTAATGACCAATCTCTTGAGTTTTGCTGGATCTCCCACATTGGCCCGTCCAGTAATCAACTCCATATTCTTATACAAGCTCCGTTTCACCAAATTCTTCATCATGTTCCTCCCTTCCTGAGCCTCTATCTGATTTACAGGCGACCCAATCACTATTCTACCCGTCTGTGGCCCAGAATGTGGATCCATTTTTCCTTGCTTCTCATTCTTAAACCATTGTAACAGCTTGTGTGCCCTCTTTTGAGCCAGTGGACTGCCTAGTAATGCCACTTCAAGAAGCACTGCAACAATGCCTGACTTCGCCATCTTCTCTCTCTGTTCTGAGCTCTGATGAGCCAATATCATTAAGATATAAGCGGAAAACTCGATAGATTTTGGTTCGTCCTCCCATGTCATAATCTCTATGAGGGCATCCGGGACCATTGGACTGCTCTCCATAGCCTTCTTTCCCTGTGAAGTCACCACCAAGTTTCCCAATGCTGCGAGGGCTCTATGTGAAAGGCCTTTCGATGAGGACATTTTCAAGAGGGTGTGCACCACACCATTTGAGACCAGAGGCCCTACATTTTCTAGAACTGTGGAGATGTTATGCAGAGTTCCAATGCAACATTTTTGGGTCTCGAAATTTGAGGTTGAATCTAGAATCTCCACAATAAATGGGATGGCATTTTCATTCGTCTGTAAGGCAGTAGTGAAATGGGAATTGATCAGAGACGACAGTGCCAACAACAGTCTTGCAAAATCGTGCTTTGCTGATTCATCCATGGCTCGGATGTCACTGGGAAGTTTGTGTAAGATTCCTGCCTCCACCATGAGGGCTTTGTTCCTAAAGAATAGTACAAACAAAGAACAATAAGTCCAACTTTTGGTAGAGATTCTTGAAAAAACACAAGTCAGGCCAAATGCCAAATGCTGACTTTGGCCACAACAGTTCAGACTTTAGAGGCAGGTAAAAGTACCCACAAACTCGATATACAATTACATAAACTAAAAGCGAACATCTTTTTTATTATTATGATGCAAACTAACCATTTGATTCTGATTTCAATTAAGACAGATCCAAAACTTCACTGCACTAAGCACATGGCTATCTTGCCAGAATATAGAGTTGACCCATATCCTTCAAAAATTTCCTCTCTATCTTAATTAATATATGGGAGCTTTTGGTTGTCTATGTTTATGTATACCCTTTTTTCCAAATTTGGAATATCGAGGAAATCCTTATTGCTGCACGTCTTTGAGTAAGGTTCTGTCTTCAAATTGATATGGAAATCCATAATTTCTATTCACTACTGGGGAAAGTTTTTCATTGAAAAGTACAGAACACTCACACATGGATGCACGTAATAAAACAGGGAGCAGAAAATTTTGAAGGATTTTAAGTGACTTACTCGAAGCTTCCTTTGGCAAGCTCAAGTAACGCTTGCACAGCCACTTCCGGCCGCCCCATGGTATCGGACGCCACCATTGAAACCAAGGCCGGCACAACCCCTAGTTCCACCACTAATTTCTTCACCTTCACGTCCTCTTTAGAAATTTTACCAATCACGTCGGCTGCAATCTCCTTCTCTTCCCAGTCCCCGAAGTGGAGCTTCTTCACCGTCCTTCGTAACGCCGCCGCGGATTCATCGGCACCACGGCTAACTCCGCCACTACGGTTCCAATCAGCATCTGCAACTTGTATAACTTCATTACTAGTTTCTGTAAATTTGGGTGAAGTAATGATTGAAGCAGTGGGCGAGATATACGGTTTTTTGGGCGTTTTGGAACAGAGGAATCTTCGGATTCGATTGAAGAACCGGTGCTTCACATTTGAGTAAACCCAAATGGGAGTTTGAGGAGAAGAAGACGAAGAAGAAGAAGAAGAAATGGAGGACATGGGGTTCATGATCAGAGAAAGAAATGAAGATTGAATGAATTATGAGAGAGATATAGAGAAGCAAACAGAGGGAAGTGAAGGCACATGCACTCCCCCGAACCCAATACTTAATATCATCCCATGCCTCCTCTCAACAGTCGCATTTTTAAATTTTAAATGAACGATTTCAATTAAAGAGAACAAGAAAGAACGTACGAAGGATACCGCTAATACTCTATGGTATTAGAAACACATTTTCTCTTAATTATTATTATTATTTTGATCGCTTAATTATATAATTAGTCTAACCTTATACTAATTTTTCCATCTTAAAATAATAGTTTGAATCAGCTTCGGGGAAGAATTTGTGTAATAATCGAGGCGTCCAGATCTCTGAATATTAATTGTGATTAAGTAAATTTAACATCTTAAATATATCTAAAAGATGTTGTCCGTAGAGCTACACCAAGAAAAGGGAACAAATTTCTGAAATATGAATCCCGAATCTACCAAGAGGCTGTCGTATTTAATGTAACATCCAGATTCCATATTTGTTCATTAAATGTATTTTTCATCCTTTTTTTTTGTTCTTTCTTTTAAATAGACAGTAAGAGAAATACCGGTAGGAAATCACTCAACTAATTGCAAGAACTTTTAAAAAAAAACATGTCGGACTTGCAATAGCTATAGATTATGAAATTTGGTTGACGAATGGATTGATATCACTATAACAATTTTTGTTTATATGAGCTAATAGATGAAAAGTCGGGGACTGGCAATAGCTAATGATAATGAAATTTGAACACAGTTATGTATTGAACCAAGAAAGAAGCATCTGCAAGACACATACATGACTAACTAAGGATTCAAGAAAAATACTAAATTTGGAATTTGATTTTTTCAGTCAGTGCTTATGTACAAAAAATGTTATTGAATTGATGTTATACAATACATTGAATGTCTGCATCAAATTTCGATACATCCATCATCATCATCACCACTACCATCCGTGTAATTGTCCCAGTCCAGTTGAAAAGAGCTAGTTGATTTCATCAACTCTGTAAGTCCGGTCAAATCTTCCAAATAAGTTGGATGGTTGATCGCTTGAAGAATAAAATCCATGCCCCTATTACGATATTCAGATACAACCTGCAAAATGAATATCATCATGAATCATGCTTGATGCTTGATATTAAAAGAAGGGGAAAACAACCCAAGAAGCATTCAGCAATTGAACCTGTTAAGCTTAATCTTCCTTAAAATAAACAGGTTTAGAAAATGAGAGAAGAAACTTCTAGTAGATTCAGGCTACATCCTCTCTAGACTATTACTGAATGACCTTCCTGGTTTAGCGGTTCAGAAACTGAAACTCTTTCCATATTTGATATCATTGTTCCCAGAGTTGCAGCCATTACATCTTCAGCTAAATTCAATAATCTTTGTATGAGCGTGCTTCAAGAGGAAATGGTGTTGGAAGGAATTTTCGCGAGGACAGTTGTATCGCTTTGGAGAGTTACCACCTAATCCAACTGTTTGAACCATTCAAATGTCCAAAATAATTGGATATTGGATTGGTACGAGCAGGTAAATTAACTGAATCCATTTTCTTCTACATCTCTAATTAGGTCGATTATGCTAGTCCCAAAATCCAAACGTCAAGGTCTACGAATATGAATTGAAATGTTTGAATCAACCTTTGTGTGTGTGTGTGTGTGTGTGTCTCTTTGTGCGTTTTTGTGTGTGGCATTAACTTACCAGGCTGGAGCAAGCTGTACAAGTATTTGATGAACGGCCAACAAGTGTCATCTGAGAAAACTGTGAGAGGGAGCCTCGAATTTGATGGGGCAAGATACCCAGAGGTTGCTCAGATGCTCCAGAGTTCGATAGTTCACATTCAGCATATATTCTGTACAATTTGGAGTAAAGACCAATAAGGCATTGTCAAACACCTCTGAAACCAAGTATAAACCCCCATTAACTCGACTTCTCACACCTAAGCAACTTTTCAGTAGTCAAGACACAGAAATTTCAAGCCTTTACCACCACTGTCTGAGAAGGCTTACCCTTCGGGATGATGTAAAATTCCAACCAGAAGTTCAACTGCAATGGCTGACGCAATGGGAGCAAGCCCTGGGCGAGTAACAGTGCATTGTTGATCCAATGTGCGATTGGCAGTTGACTGCAAGAACATGCAACTTGAGAATAAGCACAAAAAAAAAAAAAAACAACAACCAAACTGCAGCACATGAGCTTGAGAAAATTACATCAATGGGCGCAACAACATCATTACAGAAGTAACAGCCCAATCTCTGCTTTGTGTTTGCAGCATTTAAAGAAAGATTGGCTATATTGGTTTGAGATGTGGAATCATGGCAGGAACCAGAAGGACCAGCTCCATGGCGCATAACTAAGAAACTATCAAACCCCAAAGCTGCAGTGATTGTAACCTGCAAACCAGTAAAATACATTAAAAATTGAAATGCGATGTATGAGAAGCCTATACACAATTTCTTCAACAAAAATATACCTTGTTTGTATTGGCACATAGAAGTGTAGGAAGCCACCGACTTTCCCTAGTATCAGTCAACAAGAAAACTGCATCATGAGAATTAATTAAATCATCGAGTCGTCTACAATCATCAAGCATGCTGGCTGCTTCATTGTCTGAAACAGGATGACCAGGCATTGGTATGGAAATCACAACACCTTCGGCTTCCTAGTTTTTTTTTTTGAAGGAAAAGAAAAAACCACAAATGAATAAAATGATAAAATCAGGTAATTTTCTCTCTGCTGGGGTCATGCATCAAATTTTACCATGGCGGGAAAAATTCGATTGAGACTTTTAACTGCTGCTTCGGCTTTAAAGTCACCACCATTGAGGCAGTCCTCCATTGTGTAAAGTGATTGCCTCAATGGATTCGACATAGCTACCCTTCCACTGTCAACTAGTGTAATTTTCCGTATACCCCATGCCTACAAATGAGTCACCTGTCAACAAATAGATAGAAACTAACTACAAGTACAACTTTCTACAAAGCACTCACCATAAGCATACGTGCAACCTGACATCCAAGAGTACCTGCCCCAAGCAAGAGACACTTGAGAGAAGACAAGATGTTTATGTTTAAAGAAGGCAAAGCACGCCACCTCATTAGTCTCAAATTCAAATCTGCAGCTGATATAGCTAACCTGTCAACAATGTACATATCAGTCAATAACTGCACATCCTCTTCCTCGACCAAAATGCCTGGAACATAGAAATATACCGAGTTGGGTCCATGGATTTTGCAAGGTTAATAGATTTATGGCATTTCTTCCCTCTGTTCAGCTCCCATCCAACCACATTAGGCATGCATTGTTGATCTCTAAACCCTATAGAAAAAAGAAGAAGAAAAAGTTGGCTGAGCTACTTTGTGGGTTAGAGAAAAAACTGGCGCTGCTACAAACTTCTTTTACTACCTTGGGTATCATCGATCAAAGCTTTACCAACAAGAGATAAAGTAAGATCTGCAAAACCACGGTTCTCTCTGTAGCATAAAAAGTTCACCGACTTCAGATTCCATCTCGAGTAAATTAGAGCTAGGAAGTTGCGAAGAGGCCAACCAGGATTATTTGGAAGATGACAGGGGTCATAAAAGCCAAAAAGAAGCTGCAAGAAGAGACTAGACAGGCTATAAGAAAGTTTCATCAATAATTGTATGGTCATGAGAGCTCATAGCACTTTTAATCACCAAACTATCTAATGGAACTATCTGTCTAGTAAAAGCCTACTTTCCTTACTAGAAGAGTAACCCCAACAGACCTTTTCCCCATTGTTTTGGCAGGCTTCAAAATCTCTCAGATGCTTAATGCTAGCTTGAGAACTTGAATCAATATTCACCAAGAAAAAAGGTATGTCTGCAGCAGGATGAAAATTATACAGTAAAAAACCAAAACTTCACTTGTAATCTATAAAACTCTGAAACAGCGAAGAATGCAAGCCTACCAGAAGTTAGGTTTGAGCTGCGCCACTGAGCAAAACTTGAGGAAACTGATTCAGCCTATATATTAAAACAAAATATAAATATAAAAATTGCAATAGCTTTTTGAACACTTAACAACAGGATATAGACATAGTTAAAATCTAGCATACTTCTTCCAAGTTAAACCAGTGTGAAGCAGGTTTCAGTTCAACTACAGTTGCTGGAGGATTGAGAACAAGAGCAGGGAAAGCAAACCAATAGTGAAAGTTCCATTTCTTCAAGTCTGCAAATGAGATCAAAAGGAATCTTGCAAGTACTGAACTATCCTCTATAGCTTTTCCGCTGAGAATATCCTCCCAAATCTAGTCACGACAATGGAGAATTGAGCTTGTAACACAAACTTAACGCAAACAATCTGCAAGATTTTGTGATGTAATAACTTTATCCTAAACAAAAAATAGAAACTGCCACTGCCCGTGTACTGTATCCAAGAAATGAAAATCATTGAGCGTAATATACCTTCTTTGCTTCAGATTTTAGTAAGCTTAGCTTGTCAAGGGCATGGAAGCTTTCCACAGTATTTGTATTGTATAAGATTCCAGGAACAGAGCACCTATTCCTGTTGCCTTTAGTAGTTAATGGTGCTGATGATTCGCTGCTTACTTCGGAAGGCAATGACTCAGATAGAAGCGTCAAATGATTTGACACTTGAGAATGTGCACAAGGTGCAAAGAAACCTACAAGGAGATGGTTCTTGATTGTCTTAATACATACGCGCTGTGAATAACCAAAGTAAGCCATCTAAAGAATGCTAATGCATTGACGAAGTATAAAGATCCAAATTATGTATCTTTTATTTTCTTTTCTGGTTGCAGAGAGAACCATTGCATATAAGCAAAATCAAACTATATATTATCAGAAGTTAGAATTTAAAGGATATCCAAAACAAACAAGTATTCAAATTCAAACAGTATATTCATCAAATATATGATTCCGCTTAATCACATTGATTAACCAACATTCTATCCTCGTCAAAGAGTTTGATTTGGAGTCAAGACCTGACTTTAGGTCATGAGATCAACTGAAATACGAAATCGTTGACACCATAATTTGTGGCCTCTAGGAATCGGGAATCACACAACAAAAGAAAGAAAGAAAGAATAAGAAAAAGAAGAAGAAGCGGACCAGTGATTGGAATAGGGGAATCGTCGATGCCTAGTTCATTGAGCTTCAAGGAAGAGAGCCTATGCCAGAATCCTTCGTCCACCAAGCTTTGGAATGGTGCGAATTGCAATATAGATCCCTTATCGTTAGCGGCCATAGTCTTCTTCTTCTCGCTCTATTTCCTCTGTCGATGGGGGAAGTCTGAACAAGAAGAACTAGATTCCGTCTGGCCCTGTAATTTTGCCTCGTAAATCGCAAGACGCTTAAGAGAAAGAATTTTGGTATTTTTTAAATGGCCGAAGTCGCCTTATAGTTTTACATTTTTAATTCATTTATCTAATTAAAAGTTTTTTTAATTCTAGAAAAATAATAAAATAATCATTTTTTTCGTTTAAAAAATATTTATATTTTGAAATAAAATAAATAATTTTATCTATCATTTAGACTACCTTCTTTTTAACATATTGATATTATTTTCTAAAAATTATTTATTCAATAAGTTGAAACTAATATATAGATAATCATCCAATTGGGAGTAGCACGGTTAAATACTAATTGTTCCGTTTAACTTAATTATATATATATATATGATATGTGTTTTAAATTATTTATTTATTGTATAAAATATGTGATTTGGTTAAAATTGATGGAAGATTAAGTATGACGTATTTTAAATGTAATTCTGGTATTTAGAATGATATAATTAGGCTGCTCTGTAATAGCATTGAGATGTATTTCTAATAAAAAATAGTAATTTATTAACCAATTTAGTTACTACGAGAAAGAGGAGGCAAAAGAAGTTTCATCCACAAAATCCTAACCAACTCCGGGAATCAATGAGATCCCGTCCTATAAAATGACCTTCATTTCCAATTATTCAAATCACTCCTCTCAATTTCACTTCAAATTTATCCCTCCAACAAAAGAAGCAGGAGCAGGGCAGTGCAGGGCAAGGCAGGGGTACAATCATAATAAAAATGGCAAAATCCTCTGCTGCTATCATCCTTCTTTCTGCCCTCTGTTTCCTCTCCTTCCTCGACGTCACCCTCTCCGAAAAAGATCGCTTCTTCGTCGACGGGCGTGTTTACTGTGACACCTGCCGCATCCAGATCATCACCCGCATCAGCACATTCTTGGAAGGTAAGTAAGTTGGTATCCATCCTACGTTGTGTATTTGTGTTTCCTAAATGATTGAATTGGTTATCAGGAGCAAAGGTGAAGTTGGAATGCCGGAAGGAAGGAGGAGGAAACGTGACGCTGAGTAGGGAGGCGGAGACCGACAACAACGGAAAATACCGCATTGAAGTGGAGGGAGACCGTGAGGAGGAAATTTGCGAAGTGTCACTGGTGAAGAGTAGCGAGGAGGAATGCAGTGAGCTTCCTAGCGATGGATTTGCTCATCGGGCCAGAGTCAGCATCACTGCCAACAATGGTATCACAAGCCCTGTTCGTCAAGCCAACCCACTGGGCTTCATGAGGAAGGAGTCCGATCCGGGGTGCAAGGAGGTTGTTCGTCAGCTTGGATACGATGAGGCTGGCCTTCTTGTTTGAGCCCCCCACTCTCTGTATTCCTTGTTCCATTAAATAATATTATCAACCCCGCCCTGACTTGCCCTGCCCTGCCCTGCTTCGCCTTATCTAATGTATGCACTCTACCCTCTTTAATAAACTCTATTTATTTTAATCCAAGGCTCAATTTATTCTCTTTCTTTCTTTATATGAATGCCGTGCATCACACGCTATATATGTATATATATTATAACCCTATTGTTTAATTTATCATTCATAATCTCAAGCCACATCGCCCATCCGGCAATATGAATCATCGATCACCATCGTTAACCACAGATCAAAATATTTACATAATATCCACTAAATTTTAAACTGTATACCTCTCTATTTTCCACATAAAATCATCGACAAAAAGATGGGGTTAATTCAGGACGTTTGGCCGTGTTGACCGATAATCTTCTGGCGTTTGAGAGGAAAAACTTGGGCGAAATCCTGTTCTGCCACCGTGAGATGCCACCCCTCCACCGCATCCAATTCAAGCTGATGAATAATCCCAGAAGCAGCATCGTAAAGCTGCCCATAATCCTCGGGAAGCTCTCCGGAAAGGATTCGACAATTAGGCAGCGGCGGCTTGGCTCTCCGGCGGCCGGCTCCGATGGGCACGTTCCGTAGCGCCCCACCTGCCGTCCAGTACCTTTGACAACCCTTGCAGAAATGTCTGGGCTGATTAACATTGTAATTGTTGAAGTAACAGAATTTGGTGTCCATGCTCTTACATCTAGGACATGGAATTATTTTCTCCGGCCTCTTCATCTCTGGTTGATCGCCACCGCCACCGTCACCACCTTTCTCCGGCTCCTCCTTGATGCTTCTGGTCTGTAAAGTGATGACGGTGCCAAAGAGCTTAATTCCACCAGTGTTGCTACAGTGAACCTCAGCCATATATGATGAAACAGAGAGAGAGCGAGAGAGGGTTTTTGTTTTGTTTTGTTTTGTTTTGTTTTGTTTTGTTTTGTTTTGATGGGTAAATTTGTGCAGAGAAGAGATGTAGGGAAACGGGTTTATATACAGATGGAAGTGATGGAAGTAAAAGTGGTTGATAAAACATGAGAATCAATGGGACTAAACAGACGCCAATTACTGAAATTGGTATGGTGTATCGATCATTTGCTGCATGTCATCATCACGCGCTTCTCTATCAATAAAGAGAAAAAAAAAAAGAAAGAAAGTATCTGAAAAGTAGTTCCTAATCCAAGCACCCATATTGGTTGATCACACTTTTGCTACAAACCCAAAGAGATTTTTTCTTTAAAAAAAGAAAGAAAAAAAAAGAAAGAACTTTTTGTTATTGGAATTTGGCTCTTGATTAGTCTTCCATTCTTTATGAAAGAAAAAGGAAAAGAAGTTTAGGAATAAATGGTGCATCCGGTGTCCTTCTTCTGGTTTAAGTTTCACATAATTCTTTCTTTTTCTTTTTCTTTCTCTTTTTCTCTCTTAGCTTTGGGGGTGAGATTGTTCTTAAAGTTGGTTTGATTCTTAAAGTTGAGAGCTTTGTTGATATATCCATCTTCCAAAAAGCCTGCTTTTTTTTATGGTTGAAACCCAATGGGTGGTGATGAAGTTTTGTTGTTGATATTAAACGTGAAATTTAGTGGTATGGACAAAGTGTTCAAAGTATCTATCTATCTATCTTTATTTCTTTCATATTGGAAATTAAATTATATGATAAGGAAAGAAAGCAGGTTTTGATATGGGGGATATATTTTTCTTTTAATATACAAGATTCTTCTTTATCTATGTCAACCAGCAAAGCAAGTTTTTATATGCAATAAAAACAACACAAAAAGGCATCCTTTATTTTTGAGTGCTTCTCTTTAATTACTTCAAAGTTGGAGAAAGCTATGCAACACATAACCCTACCATCCCATATTCAAATTTATTAAAATCATAATCTTCTGATCGTTTGATATTAGTCTAGAAGCGATGATCACGACACGAATGATTCAATTTCTGATCATAATCACTAACTCAAAGTCTTAAACACCTTTACCTAAAAACATATCCAAATGACTTTAGATTCTATCGAATAGTCGTAAAGGGTTGAATTTTACCCAACAATCCTTACCAAACACAGTGCTGGTTGGACTTCTCGATCAAATAAGCTCAAATCCATACCATTCCTTGCAAATCTTCTTTTACTTGGCAACTCTATTATTATTATAATTATGGTAAGTTTGGTTTTGTAATTAGGAATTAGGCGTTACTTGGCAACTCTTCTTCTCTTGGATGCTCTCTTCCTGCAACTGTCTAAACAGGCCCAAAACACACCAAGTGGACCACAGCACCAACCAACCAACCATGGCTCGAACAGGCGCTGGGCCAAAAGCCGAAAGGTGGCCCAACTCCGCTTGGGCACGCTTAGATGGTGCCCCAAGTGAGACAGAAATACATATTTTTTATTAATTTATTAGTTTTGTAGAGAGAGAGAAGAAAGCGTGAGTGATGTAAAAATTAGGTCTGAATTTTGATCAGCTGGTTGTACTAATTCAATTATGCATTCATCAGAGAAAGCGACTGAGACTGCGACTGAAAATTGCCAAAAAGGGGCACCAACCACTCTATCTACCTACCCGCCTTGCCTGCCTGCCTGCCTGCCTGCCTGCCTGCCCGCCCGCCCGCCAGCACTGCTCACTGCTCACTGCTCACTTGCTCACCCCACCAATCATATAACTAAGATACTGTGTCCATTCCATTAATCTTATAATTAATTGTGTTCTACAAAAAGAAGGTATTTAATTTATTCCATAATTTGTACAACAAATTGTCAATGATATCATAATGTTCATATAGATCTTATTTGAACTTTTTCAAAGCCTACAACAACAGAATCATCTTACTTACTTTCTTATTAGCTACTCAAGTCCATTTGTAGACACATAACACCAAAAAGAGAATTGCATCTTACAAAGCCACTTCTAATCAATAAAGACTATATAGATCTACACACAAACACTTAGTGGAATATTGAATTATAGGTATGATACATATTTACTTCAAAGTTGTTTAATTGGAATGTGTAATTATATATATATTTATTTATTTTTAATCGAAAATAATAATAATAATAATAATAAAACTTTGTCTTAATTCAACGCTAGCCAGCCATAGGTCCCACTGGCCACGTGTGATTGTGGAATATTAGATAATAGAGGACAAAGTTAGGAGAAAGCTGTCCCACAGTAGATCCTCTCTGATGTATACTTTGCATATATTCATACGCTACATACTCAATTATCATTAATTGAATCTTGTGACATTTCGAGTAAAATATTAATTATCTCGACCTACTAGTTTTAATTTTGTGTTTTATTATTATAATTCATTTTCTACGCACAATTCAAATAATTGGAAGAATCAATTAAAGTTTATATCATAATAACAAAAATTAGGAGACTCATATTTATATAGTGCAATTCAAATCTGAAACATGGGGTTATATCACGATCACTTGGCTCAAGATGGGCCTAACCCTTAAGGCCTTTGCTCACATGGTCGGGCTTGGCGTAGTTGGATTAAGCTTAGCCTCAACCCAATACGTTGGACCATCTGATTCGCAAGGTCTGTTCTTTTAGGGCAACCAAAGACGCGAATATTAAAAAAAAAAAAAAAAAAAAAAAGGGTAGTTCCATTATTCATCGTTAAATTCTGGATTATATTCTAAGATGTGTGAAGGTGAAGAGAGAGATATTAGAATAGGTACTT